TTACGTCCTTGCTTAGCTCTCTGTAGGGGAGTAATTTAGTCCAGTTTCACCACTTTGCCTCAGTTTCCTCCTAGCGGGGTCATCTTAGGCTTGTGAAGAGGGAAGGAGTTCCTACACAGAGTTTAGAACAGCGCTGGGCCCAGGGACACCTCCTCTGCATAGGCGTTTTCCGTGATCACCTTTATAAGTGCCCCAAACAGAGCACTGTCTGGGGACACTTCAGTGCTGTGCTGCAAAAGATGCCCCTGGTCTCTGCTGCCCTGTTCTGGCCCCTGTGCTCGTGGAGCTAGTGCTTAAGTGAACCAATCCACCGATTCCTCAGTTAACTAAATTAAGCACAGTCATGGGGCACCTACCGTAAACACAAAGACGTTTAAAACAAACTTGTGCCTTTCAGCTGCCAGGTGATAGAAGACACACATGGGAGAAGAAAATCCACCCAAAATCTATGTGAGGAAAATTTTGAAATGTATTGAACATCTTCTGTATGTTTTGGGAACTGTGCTATCAGCTGATAAAGAAAGCTAAGAGGACACAGGCCCTCTGTTTTGGAACTTCATTCAAAGACTTCTTGGTCTATTTGGGATGTACATTTTTATAGGCATAATTGTTTTACAGAGCTCTGAGGCAGTTCAGGGGAAACAGGGATTATTTCCAAGGTAGGTTTAAAATAGTACACTGTACCCCATGACAGTATTAATGTGCACAGCTATGATTTAATAAATAAAAAAAAAATGAAAAGACTTTCGGAAGGTCACGACGTGAAGACAAAGGTTTGAAGGATGAGTGAGAATTCACGGATGTGCTGGACATCTTAGGGATTTCTGGGAAGTACAAGCCTCTCAGTATTACTGGACCAAATAGATCAGGAGTCAGATCTTGGAAGCCTCTCAAGGTTGGGCTCAGGAGCATGCAGCCTACTCTGAAAGTCCAGGACCACCCCTGAAAGGTATTAAGAGGAAGAACATAAAATCAAAGTTGCATTTCTAAAAGATCAATATGGTGTGTACACCAGTTGGGTTAAAGAGGGGCAGAACTGGAATTCAGGAGATCTGTTAAGAAATGACCTGGCTCAGATAAGAAACAGGATGGCCCTGGGCGAAGGGGGTGGCACAAGGAGAGGGTAGATAAGAAAGTATGACTGATAAACACGGCACCCCAAACATCCATTTCTCTAACTCATCTCAACATTTGAAAAATAATAGCTCACACATGTAGCCCTCCCTGGGTGTGAGGCACTGTTCTAGGTGGTTTTTAATTTTATTGCTAAATATTAAGGGGGTATGAATGTTTCTGATTACATGGATTGCTATGGCAATGTTTGAGTCATGGCTGTATGTGTGCCCATCACTGAATGGTGTTTACTGTGTCGTGAGGGAGGTTTGCACCCTTCCCTTTCTTCCCCCTCTCCCTGGCGGATTTCCCCTGAGTTTGACTTCCTTCTGGCACACATCACTCGGTGGTTAGTTCCAGTGTAATAGTCAGCACAGTGTCTATTTTCCCTTCTTGAGATACTTCATTTCAGAGAATGGTCTTCAGGTCCATCCCCATTACATCCATGAATCCCCTTAATCTTCACAACAAACCTATGAGGAACATTTGATTTTCATCCTTGATTTACAGAAAGGGCCATGGAGACACAAGTAGGTCAAGCTGAATCTTCAAGGACAGACAGTAGAGGGGTGGCCAAGCCAGATGTTGAGGCCTGGCAAGCGCCTCTGGCTTTGATCTTCCATAAGCAGGGAGTGAAGTTTCTCCCTCTTGGGGAGCTTACTCTTCCCCAATTGTCCCAAATCCACTGGGGCTTCCTCAGTCCACTCCCAAGGGGAAGCTGCTCTGACCCTCCCAATGTGGACAGTGTGTGGGGTCTAAGCATTTTATGACAGTTGCTTCTCGCTGCCACAGGATGTCACCATTGAACACCTGCCTCCTGCAAGGAGAACAGCTCGCCTACTTGGCCATCATTCTTTACTCACCTGGAAGGGGCTCAAGGCCCTGTGGTTCTGTGAGGGACAGCAACCTGACTCCAGCCCTGCCCTCCCCGGCTGGCTCCCCAGCCTGTCTCTCAGCACCCAGCTCTCTCCAACGGGCCCTCATCTCACTGCCAGACACCAGAACCAGTGTCCTCTTGTCTTATCAAAACATTCTTCTGGATACATCATTACTCACATTTTTCTTGTTGAAAAATATTAAAAAAAAATAAAACCTGTCACAGATGACTTGGAGAGCTACTTACATGGAAGAATTGACAGAAGTTGTTATATTTAATTAGATCTGTGGAATATGAGGAGAGGAGAGAGAGAGAGAGAGGAGTGAGAGACTGAGATTAGCAAGCCTGGGGTCTCATCAGGGTTCTGGCTTCTGTGTTCTTTGATAGGTCAGGGGGAATTTCCTGGGAGGGCCAACAGTGGAGGGGGACTTCTCCTTTCAAGTCGGCTCCATCTGGCCCACACTGGGCAGAAGCACAGATTTCCATTGCAGACCTCAACCCCAGCTGATCAGGGCCTGGTACAGACTGTCTCTAGGTCCGACAGTGCACCAGTTTGGAGCGGGCAATGAAAGGGCAGGGTCTGAAGGGGAAGGCTTCCCCACAATAGTTCCTAATGCTGTTTGCCACACAGGGAACAGGAGTGGGAGTGGCTCTTGAGACATATCCCACTGGGACATGTTGCATTTGATTTTATCTCAGGTTCATTGTACAGAGCACGTACACACACTATTTATTGTTGGTTTAAAATCAAAATGTTCAGGGCATGATTATAAGAGGGACTTTATCCAATAAATGCAATTAGTGTAACCTAATTCTTTGTACCCTCAATGAATCCCAAACAATAAAAAAAAAGTTTTGTAAAAGTATGTGTTGAAAGTCTTATTCTCATGCTAATCTCGTCTACACAATTCTCTGACCATCCTAACCCCCAGCGCTAATAGCCATTTCTCCAAGTTTCTTACATAAGCTTGCAATATATTTTTATGCCGGTATAAGCAAAAACAAACATACACGTCTCTCTCCTTGTTTCACAAGAGTTATCTTGTTTTAAAAACTCCTCTGCACTTTGCTTTTTCACTTAATGTATTGCAGAGCTCTTGAATCTGGATCCCAATAGGACCCAGCCCTATGCTCCTGGCACATCTCCACTGCTGAGGACGAACACAGGCAGAGGTAAACGCTGGGGACTGGTGTTGACTTTCAAAAATAAGATATGATAAAAATGCAGTATCAATAACAACATAAAAGTCATCATTTTGTTCACATTGAAAGGACAATCATAAAACGAAGGCATCCATTTTCTCTATAATAAAAATTGTTTCTTTGCTATTCACCAAACACTGACCAAGGGAATGCCTTATCCGAGGCTCACTGGTGCTGTGGTGAGGACAAATAGGGTCCTCAGGGTCTTCATCTTTCCCAGGTTGCTGTGGCAACTGCCTCCTCAGGACACCCCTTCTGGTGGCATCAATACCCACCCCAGCCCCCACCACACCTTTCAACTAGAGTGACCACCCCAGCATGCCAACCAGCCTTTCCCCTGCACCCTCCCAAACTGTCCACGAGCCCTTTGAGCAGACCCGCCCTGGGACTCTCACAGGCCACCTAGCCTCTCCCAGTCTGCTCTGTCCCCGAGGTTCTGGATGGGCCACAAGGCTAAAACCTAGCCCTGCCTTCCTCACTGTTAGGCCTTTGCACGCCTGGTCCTCTTGTCCTGGAAGGAGCATTCTCCTCCCCCCTGCCCCGCTCCCTTACTTGTGCTTGAACCTTCTTTCAGGTGGCTCTCCCTGATTGCCTCTCCCGCCTCCACCCCACCTGCTCAGGCTGTCACCACCCCTGCCTCTTACTGGCTGGGTGTCGGTGCACCTAGTCTCATGCGCAGAGCGCTGGGCTTCCAAGGCACAGCCTTGGCTCCCTCTCTGAGGCCATCTGTCATCTGTCATAGGCGCGCCATGAGAACTTCCTAACAGGGACGTGGTGACAATTAGAGTTCCCGTGTAAACACCCCTGAAGGAATGCTAGGTAGACTGGAGTTGCCTTAAGCCCCTCAAGCGTCTCCTCCGTGGACAGCATCTCGCGCGTCTGCGAAGACCCCTATGTTCAGAAAGAAGTACGGAGCCCCGCGAATGGTGGGCCAGTCGGCCGGCTGAAGGCCACCGCGGGAGGTAGGGGCTGCTTAGCGCTTTAATCCTGTCCCCGGCTCTACTTGTTGTCCCCGGGCTCCTCTTCCAAGTTTGTCCTCCCGGTCCCCAGCCGCCGAGCCCTCCCGCCCCTTTCTCGCCCGGGTCGGCGGCTCGGGGGCTGCGGGCGCGCGCGGGC